AAACCAGAATTAGGTTTTACAGATAAGGTATTACTTATCAAAAGTTCATGATAGTTAAAGAAGAAAAAGCAGAATATTTTCTTTCTTTGATCTGTAAATTTCTCAAAATAACATATTTGCCCTATTCAAATTTGTTTTTGTCAAAATTACAATGATTTGACAAAATGAATCCCAATATACTGAGCAAGTTAAATAAAAATGCTGTTTAAAGTACCTTTTACGTTCTTGTGCATTCATGTTCTCCCTGCACATAGTATCATTTGCTCATGATAGTTATCGTTACATGTGTTTACAAGTTTCTATAAGCATCACTATTCCTTCAATTCTTGCTTTTGGTTTAATGCTTCTAACTGTCAACACATTCCCACTTTCTCTAATTAATGGGTTGAATTCTGCATGTCTTTGTCTGCTTTATACATTAAGTCACAATTGTAGTTAATTCAACTTTGTCTTCTGGAAGTTGACATTGCCTTTCATACTTTGCAGATGCACAAGTCTTAAAATGAAGAATTCTCAAACTCAGATTGCCCAGAGTTGTCAGCCATCAGATATAATGCTGGCATCTAATAAAATGCTAATCTGCTACATCCCTTTTAGCTCTCAAGATTCATGCATATGCATGTAGTTGCTTTCTCCATAATTCCAAATCTGTTACAGTGAATGACTATTTTAATGCCTTAAAGAGAAGAAATGATAGAAAAAATGATACTATTTTTCTTTTAAAAAATCAGAACATCTGGAGTTCCCAGAATTTATAAAGAAAACCCTAAAATAATGGCAATTATGTATATAGTTAATCTAGATGCCTCCCTCTGTTTAAAAGCCAAACAACTAAAAACAACAAAATCAACAGTAGACAATTCTAGTGTTACAAGTAATCTGGGTTCTTAGAGAATGAAAAAAGTATTTATAATATGGAATTATTTCCTTTTCCAATGTTAATTTTTCTTTTACACCTATGTAAGAGCAATTTTCTGTGGTTAAAATCTAAAGCTGTGATTGGTGAAGTATACTCTTTTTCTGTTTTATTGTTGTACTTTTATTGTTATTTCAACTCAGTTACCCTCCATCCAAAGTTATTGCCCAAGGAAAATTACATCATCTTTTATTTTCAGTACACAATATTGGTGAGTCTATTGCTATTTCTTCTCAGCTGCACACAGATAGGACTTTTTATTTTATTATTTTTTATTGTGAAAATACTGTACAGAGGGGTTACAATTACATGGGCAAGATAATGAGTACATTTCTTATCAAGCATTGTAGCCTCCTCCTTTGTTTCCCCTTCCCATCCTTTCCCATCCTCCCCCTGCCCTCCCCACCCAACCCTCACACCCCCCACCAAAGTTGTAAAGTTCGTTTTCGACATAACGACTTGTACATCTCATTGTTGCAATGGGTCCACCTGTATCCCTTCCCCTTCCCCTTCCCCTCCACAAATTATACTGACATCAAATACAGTGAAAGCAGGGACCCTCCCCCACAGTCAGGACTTTTTGAAGTTCGTCTTCATTGTGCTCTCAAATAAAAGCCCAAGAATGAATGAAATAAATATCTCTTAATCCATATGTTTTACTGTGAGCAAGTCATTTACCATTCGAGGTGTCTTTATTTTATTTTTAAAATAAAGAGATTGAATTAAAAGGAATCCTCAACTTTTTTTCCAGGTTCTACTTTTCTATGATATTGAGGCATCTGGGGGAAAATCTTCCAAAAAATTTATCTCAATATAACATTATTCTACATTCAAACTGTAAATTTATAGTATTGCATACCTGGTAATGATGGAATGTTTCCAATCTGACTCTTGAGTTCCTCCAAACTACACAATTCAAGAATAGACATTAAAGTAGTATACTTGTGTGTAGATGCATGTCCTGCATTATATTCTTCGCAGAATATCAGGATGCACTAAATGTGTATAACTATGCATGACTAGAATGATCTGATTTTTTAAAGGATGGACAATAAATAATTGCTTAGAGCAGAAAACAGTTCATAGAAACTTAGAAGTCATAGATCTTAAGGCAGAAAGAGCAGGATAATGTTATCTCCTTACAAACAATGAAGACCCAAGTAAAAGATACAAATAGTGATGCAATGTGAACAAATCTATCCTTTTAGAAAGATGAATTTGGGAACTGGCTTACTCCTGTAATCCTAGCTACTCAGAAGGCTGAGATTTGAGGATTCTTGTTCAAAATCAACCAAGACAATAAAAAGAAAATAGAAGTCCATGAGGCTCCTATTTCCGATTTACCAGCTAAAAAGCATGGTTCAAGTGACTAAGTGCCAGCCGGGAATGGACAAGCCAAACAGAAGCAGGAGGTTTTAAGTTCAATTCAAGACCCAGTGAGAGGAGAAAAATTAAGAGTTACAGTCCATTTATATAAACCTTTGTTTGATCATTGTTAACATTGTGTTTTTAACTGCCTAGAAAAGATCCCTTAGCCCCTTAGAGCCAACTATATACCTGAAAGTTTAATTTCTTTCCCAAAGAAACATCTTGCTTTTTCTCCTTTCCATTGGAGACACAATTCTTTTGAACTAAAGACAACTGATAGAGATGAACATCAGAGATCTGGTCTGTGGGGGACCTTTAGTTTTAGAGTACAGCAAATAATCTAATGTTCCAGAATACTCACTCCTGAGCCCACTCCTGGCTTATTTCTAGCTTGTAAAGAAAAGTGATTTTTCTAACAACATGTCTCCTTTCACACTGTCATCTCTCCTCAACTATAATAAAGACAAAACACATCTACCTCAAATGATCAAATTCAAATTAGTCTTCGTTAGTAGGCATTTTCAGTGGAGACACAAAGTATATTTCTTAAAGCAAAAAAAATACATATTCAGTTCCACTACCATTTCAAATACAATATTATAGGCTTTTGATTAACTTTCACTGACTCCAACTGAATTGCAAATTTGTTTTAAACCAAAATACAGAAGCAATTTTCTTAAAATAATAATGTGATTACTGAAAATTGTTTTAAGGTTTTATCACTGGTTTAAACACTTGGTGGTAACAAGTTATGATACTTGAAATTACTTTGGAAAGACTCAGTCTATGGAGCTATGTCAGTAACTAATTAAATAAATTTCACATCTATCATTTTCTTCCTATTTTAAGTCTTATAATTGTACAAACATGCTAGTGTTCCAAAGCTAAATTATCAAAATCATATGTAAAACCCAACTATATTCAAAGAATTGTGAATCTATGACTCCCTTTATAATTCCCATTCTTACCTCTATGTAAACATTTTTAAAATTATGGTTTATTCATCCATTTCTAGAAATCTTTATTTGATAAATATTAGCAATCACACCTGTTTTCACCTCCAGAGACTGCTGCATAATAATATATAAGGATTTTTTCATTATTTTTCATAGATAAATGTGATGTTCTTGTTTGAATATATTCTAGTAGTCAACCAGACATCTATTGATGAACTTTTTAAGTGATGAAACTTTGCATTGCATTTAAAAATAACATTGTAATGACTATTCTTGAATATATATCTGTTTCATACAGTTATCAATGTGCTTTTGACACTGAATACTAACAAGATTATTGGGTCAAGTGTTAAATGCATATTGAGTTTTTTCCAAATACTATCAAATTTCACTTGAATGTTTCTGCATTTCTACAAGCAATCACATGGGTAGGGTTGGGATAAGTTAAAAATGATGTAAGGAGGGACATTGATTAAGATATTTTGTACTCATGAAATGACACGTTGAGCAAGAATTCCTTTTATAACTCTTCAAAGAAAAACTTTATGAAAGAAAAGACTTGGAAAAATCTTACTAAGTAAAGTAAGCCAGCCTCAAAGAAACATAGGCTCCATGGTTTCCCTCATTTGTAATAATTAGTGTATGTCTTGGATTGTCATAGTAAAGGATCACAATAGCTCAATAGCTATATACATATGTCCCTATAAAATCATGCTAATCAAAATGAGTTCCAAGATATGGACACAAGAGGGTTTTATTGTTGTTTCTTCTTTCTTGTTTTTTTAGTGTACTATGTGAAGTTATTTTTTCTTTCGTTTTTCCCCCTTTGGTTTATCCCCTATTGATTATGATAGCCTGTGTCTTATATACCCATTTAACAAGTTTGGAGGAGGGAAGGGGAAATAATGAAATGGTGAGATAAAGGACAAAGGGTAAATCAATGTAACAGTGATACAAGACACTATGTTGGAAATGAACTTTACAACTTGGCAGCAGAGGGAAGTCTGGGTGGGGAGGGAAAGTGGCAGAAACAAGGGAGCAGGTAACACTATTTGACAAGAAATGTCCTCCTTACCTTATATACTCAACTGTAACCCTTCTGGAATCATCCTTACAGTAAAATAATCATTTAAAAAGAAATTTAAAAATTCACATCCCTCAATTTGCCTAAGACTTGGAACTCTAAAACTTGTCATACCAATTCAAATAAAATCCTAAAAACATTTTTGTCCTGGAAGAGACACCACTCACTGCTGGTGGACTTCTCCATTATCGCTAAGAAATTGCTGGACATGGGACTCTGCCTTGTTTCACTTTGCATGCTCCTAATCAGAAATGAGTGCGTCTCTCTGTGACAAAGGTTCTGTTTCTTCAGAATTTCCAAATCAAAAACGTTTATGAACACCAAGGAAATGTTTCACTATTTTTGACAAATAGTACATTATAGCATTGGGGACAGAAAGCGCCACTTCTGGCTTTTTCTTTTTGCTTATGTGGTGCTGAGGGATCAAACCCAGGGCCTCAGGCATGCAAGGCAAGCGCTCTACCACTGAGCCACCTTCCCAGTTCCAAGTGCTACTCTTAGAGGAACAACAAAAGAGAGAGCTGTCCATGAGAGGAGACATATGTTTTAAATGTCCTTTTTTTTAAACCACACTGGCATTGACAATTACTTCTAACACATTCTAATTACTTTCTGTTGAAAAATATTTACCACCCCCAAATGAACACACCGAATGCAATCGATAATAAAGACTCACCACTACTGGAAGCATCATTGAGGTTCAGCAGTCCTCCTCCTAGCCCTCTGTAACTATGGTAACTGTACGTCCCATTTCCATTGATGTACAACACCTCCTGTGAGCCTGGAACAGTGGATGTTGAGTAAGTAGCCTGCGTGGTCTCTGACTTACACTGTTTGTCAGCTGGTGCAGATTCATCCTGCAATGACAGACAGCATTCCATTATTTATCTTATCACTATGTGATTTCACCGTCAAAAGGATTATTTTATTGTCATTTATACCTCTGCATTGAATAAGAGAACTCTAAACAGTGAATTTTAAGTGAACACATACATATGCATACTTTCCAGACCTTGGCTAAAAACTAAGAAAAAAAAGCAAAATAACACTGTGTACAGAGTGTAGGTGAACAATTGATTAGTTCCAACTGAATATAAAGTCACATCAAGAGAGTTATTCACAGTAGCCAAGACATCTGAGCAACCTATCTATTAGTAGAGCAATGATAGAGGGAACATGGTGCATACACACAAAAGAATAGTACGCAGTCATGCTATACTATGGAAGAAATTTCAGAACATTATACTAAGTGACATAGGCTGTCATCAAGAAGCAAAGGCTGTGCAGGAGTGATACTCACTAGAACTATTTTGAAAATGAACTCACCTTGTGCATAGGGATAGGAGGGAAAAACTGGGTGAAATCAAGGGAAAGAGTGACAGTGTCCAAAAAGAAATGAATTCATTGCCTGACGTATACAACTGTAACTCCTCTGAATTACAGTTTATAATAACACCTTTATAATAACAGTTAAAAATAACTTTCAAAAAGCAAAGATTGCAGGGCTGGGAATGTGGCTTTAGTGGTAGAGTGCTTGCCTGAAGCCCTGAGTTCAATTCCTCAGTACTACATAAACAAAAAGGCCAGAAGTGGTGTTATGGCTCAAGTGGTAGTGTGTGAGTCTTGAGCAAAAGAAGCTCAGGGACAGGGTCAAGGCCCCGAGTTCAAGCCCCAGGACTGGTAAAAATTAAAAACAAAGCAAAGTTTGTATGATTCTATTTCTATATATTATATATACTAGATTATCTGAAACATAGCATGTGGTTTCCAATGCTGATGTGGGAAAGATGAGTATCTTGGGTATAGCATCTCACTCATGTGTGGCAATGGGAAATTGTCACAGAAATTTTCTGTATAACAATTGGCATGTAGTTGCATTGTACTCTTGGAAATTGTTGAGATGCTAAATTTTATGCTGAAAATACACTTTTATGAAACAGATTAGGTTTTAAAATTGCATGAAGAGAAATTTCCAGGGGAAGAAATACTTAACAAAATTTAAGTTCTTTGAAACATTTATTTATTTTTTGTAAGTTTTCTTTATTGTGAAAATACCATTCAGAGGGGATACAATAACATGAGCAAGGTAATGAGTATATTGCTTCTGAAGCATTGCTGTCTCCTCCTTAGCTTCCCCTTACCATCCTTACCCTCCCATCCCTTCTACCCCTGCCAAAGTTGTAAAATTCGATTTTCGACATAACGTCTGTACATCTCATTGTTGCAATGGGTCCACCTGTATCCCTATTTAAACAATTTGTTTTTTCCCTTCCCCTCCACAAATTATACCAACATCAAATACAGTGAAAACAGGGGTTATACCATGGGGGAGGGCCATACAAAGCAAAAGAAATCATCTTATAAATATGTTAGAAACAATAGCAAGAAAGAAAAACCATTTGAGTCCTTATCTTGGGGTTCATTTTGCCTAACATCAACTTATCTGACCATTTCTGCCTGTCTCAGACATATACTTTTGCTTTCTAATCTCTGCCTCCACATAGTTTCCATTAACAGGCACATGTCAACCTATCCAATCCTTTGAAGTTCTTATATTTTGAACACTATCTATATTCATGAAACAAATTACTTTCACATGTTTTGGTGCCCCCAATTTTTAGAAAACAGGAAACAAAATAGGAAATAAATATACTCTATGAAGCCAGAATATTGCAAAATATTTTTCACTTCCTGAAAAACAGCACCAGGATTAACAGCATCACCGTGGTGATTTTGTTCTTGGTTCTCTGATGGATTCAACTCTAAGTGCCCCATTCAAGGCTCACCATTTCACTCAGGTGTAGCCAATAGACAGGTAATCTTTTTTGGGGGGGGTTCTGGTCATGGGGTCTGAACTCTGGGCCTGGGCATGGTCCCTCAGCTGTTCAGCTCAAGGCTAGTGCTCTACCATTTTGAGCCACAGCGCCACTTCCAGCTTTTTTTTCTTTTTGCTTATGTGGTGCTGAGGAATCGAACCCAGGGCCTCATGCATGCAAGGCAAGCACTCTACCACTGAGCTACCTTCCCAGCCCCTAGACAGGTAATCTTTAGCTTTTGTCTCTTCATTTCTAATAAGATTATGAAAGAACAAATACTCAGATTTTTAAAAAAAATCTGGAACTTGATGACATGCAAATCTAAAGGTTAGAGACAATTATACGCACAGCAAATACATTACAATAGAAATTTATTTGCCAAATATTGCCCTCTGAAACAATTAGGATGCATCTGAAATTTATATAATGCAAATACAAACAGAACTGAGTTGACATATGAACTAAAAACTCTGATTACACAATAAAATCTTGCCATTTAAACCATAGAATTCACTTGTTGGATGCATTACTACAGGATCACATTTCCATGGAAGAAACTGTCTTACAGAGGAACCAGCTAAAGAAAAATATGCTGAAAATGACAATTCTACTGTGCTGAACTAAACTTGATAGGTTTTTATTATTATTTTAATATATTTTAAATTTAAAATATACTTTTATTATTTTTAATTCTGGAAGCTTTTTTTCCTTCATATATACCTTAAGAAGGAAACTTTTAAATTCTTCTTTGCTATAAAAGAGGATATAGAGTCTATCAAAATGACCTCTGGCCACGGAGACTTTTAGATATATTTGTTTGCTTTGAGATTTTTGGATGTTAAGACAGCATTTACTACCTTTTAGCAAAAGAGCTTCAATAATGTAGTTATAGAAATCCAGTGTTGCTGGAGTGCATATTATAATCAGCAGGTCTAAGGTAAATAAATAATCATAGTAACTACCACTTTGCTGTGAATAAGTACTATGGACCAAGCAATAGTGGTGGTTCAGAAACATGGCAGCCAGTGCAGTGTGAAGCCAACCACTGTAAATGGAATCTTTTTTGTGTTTGCATATGATTTTACTAAATTGTATCTTATTATCACTGGAGAAAATAGAAAACAGTTAAACCAATGATGACCATATCTCATGCACTATAGTCTTTCATAGTAACAATACTCTTCCATGTGGAGTGCCAGACTTCCTCCCCAAAGCAATGAGAAGACTCAGGCATGGCTGACCATTTTCTAAAATGTGAGCTTAATGAACCTTACCTTTTACAAGGAAATTATCTCAAGTATTTTATTATAGTCATGTGAAGCTTGAAAAACTCACACGGGTTTGCTATGGAATATATATATATATATATATATATATATATCACAAAGTAGTAGATTATTAAGTTGGCCTCCATGGGTTTGCCTGCCTTTTAGGGAAAATGCCCCAGAGACTTCCTATGATTATGTATGAGGACATGTAGGTCTGTTTTAGGACAGCATCCTTCCTCTTTAAGCAGATTACCATCTTTGCTTTATTCAGCTTTGTATTCACCAAATCACTGCATCAAAAACATTATGGAAATTACCCTGCTGGGAAATATTCTATCTGCAAATACATTTAGCTATTAGAATTTTGAAAGTCAGCAATTTGGGGGTCTTGGGATAGGGCTCACCATGAACGTTTCCACCTCTCAAGGTCTGAAAATAACTTGGAAGAAATAATAAAACCTGAATTTATCTCTCAGTTTGAAAGTGTCAATAAAATACCTTCACAGAATAAGTTTTTATTGAGTAAGGGTGAAGACATTATCACTGCAATATTTTCTTCTTGATTATATCGAAGAATTAATTTGTATTATTAAATGTGTTATTTTAAAATTTTGAGTTGGTCTTTCATTATCAACTGTTATTCCAAATGAAAATAACAGCACTGAGCAGGCAGATAATTAATCCCATTAATAATCAAAGCAGACTTTACAGAGGTTATTTGTATTCAAAAAAGATTTGCATTATTAATGTTTTTGGCAGTCCACTATAGGTTGTGGGATACTTCCAATAAAATCTGATCTGTAATGTCCTTTGGGCAAAAGTTTAATACAACATTAATTCATACTTTTATTGTGAGTGATTATGATTATGGGTTTCAAAGAATAGTAACTTTCAATGACACAATATATGAATATTCTCCTGGGTGATATTTTGCCTGTGTAAGTATCTTTAATAGTTATTCATTTTCAACAATTTTATAGCCACCAGTTTGTCTATTGGATGGCTATAAAGTAGTTTGCAAAAAGAGCCTTTTTCGAATTGTAAATCTTTAATTCAAGCAAGTAAAATACATATTGTTCATCAACAAGAAAAATTAAAACTAAATCTGTATTCTAAATTTTATTGAAGTATTTCTAAATTTTAGAAAACTGCTTTAAAATAAGATAGGGACAATCATTGAATGACCATCAGCAGAGCATTAGGGACTGCTTAGTGCATTGTAGATACAGTTTCCTTTGAGTATAAAAAACATAAAACCAATTAAAAAATCTTTTGGGGATGACTTTTATTATTTAATTCTGGCCTTAGGTTCTGGAGTTAGCATGCAATTAAAATGGTAGAACACTGATTAGCAGATCCAAGGACTTGAGTTTCAAACCCTGTAATGTATAAGTGTTATACAAATATACACACATAGTATATACGTAATTATAAATTTTCACATATTAAAATGGGCTTACAGGAAGACAAATGTTGACCTACAGATGAGTAACAAGTCTGGAAAAGGCCTAGGATATGTCTTTCCTTACCCATAATACACTGAGAAACCTGGTTTTATACTCATTTTGGTTCTACTTTAGAAACTGGATAGAGACAAATAGCTGTTCTGAAGTTTGGTTCCCAGATGGAGCGATTTGATTCTCAGGAGTCATTTACTGAATGACTTCTTTGGACTTTTTTTTTTAACTTGTAATGGAACTGATTCTACTTAGCTTTTTGGCAGTCTGTTGACATGGAAATGTTTCATTAACTTTTGTGCATTACCTCAAGTCT